AGACCAGTCTGTTTGGTGGCAGGAGGGGTGCCTGTGAATTGCTGGGTTCCTCATTACTCACAGCGGCTTCTCTGAGCAGCCCTGGCCCTGTACATCCTCACTGTAGCTCTTGGCTCATCCTATGGTCGCCCTGTCCCCTTGCCTTAGCAGTCATCGCTGTCTCTTCCTGGTGGACTTTGCTCTTTGGGGGTTTGCTGTTGTATTTACTAAGGTCTGGTCAAGTGTCTGGAGCACCCAAGGGCTCAACTAGTTTTTCGTGAACTAATGCACCACTGTACTTAGTTGCCAACTCCCCTCCTTCATCTTGAATTTCAGAGCCCAGATATCGGAGTGATTGTGTTCGGGCCTTGAGGTCAGCAGCTCCAGCACAAATGCCCTTCTGCCACATGTGAGCCAAACAGCCATCAGCAATTCATGTCCCTCTCAGTCCCTTCATTTGTAAGCTTGAATTGATCACACCTTGTAATGACTCTTCCAGAACTGCTTTAAAAAGACAAGAATGATGGGATAGGCATGTTCAAAGTGAGGGGGAAAATTTGGGTGCGGGAGAGTAGTGGCAGTGAGTCTTCCACTGTGATCTATTTTTAAACGTAATCATTCACTGTAAGTTTTAATTGCACCGCATATCCAGCATGTTCAACCTCCCCTGTGACAAGTGGCCTTTGTTTCCCACTAGAGCTCATGGGGAAGGAAGGGATCTTCTGATGCCGGGCAGCCATACAGGGTGGCGAGTGCCCCCTGAATTTGCACCAAGTGCTCCACGTTCAGCCACAGCTAGAGATGTTGTGTTTGTTCAGAGAGGCTGTTTGTGGCACCTTGGTGAGGGCCTGAGGGTCGGTGTCACAGGGCCTCCAGCAAGAGGGGCTGGTGGGGACTGGTTGAGCGATGGGAGTGGTAGAAGTGTTTTGGAAGTAGGGTGAGGGTATTAGCTTTCTGGGGCTACTATAATGATGCACAGTAACATGAGTGACTTAAGCAACAGAAATGTGTTGCCTTACAGTTCTGAGATATGAAAGTCCAGGATCGATGCGTTGGCAGTGTTGGTCCCTTCTAAGGGCCATGAAGGACCCACCATCATGCCTCTCTCATAGATGGCCATCTTCTCCCTGAACCTCTGAACTTTGTCTCCCCTCTGCCTTCCTGCCTGGCCCCAAGATTCTCCTCTTTATTAGGACACCACTTGAATTAGGCCAGAGGCCACCATAATGGCCCCATTTCAACCTGCTTACTTCTGGAAGAAGGTCACATCGCAAGGTACTGAGAGTTTTAGCACACGGATTTTGAGGGGACATTATTCAAATCACAATGGACAAAATGAGGGAGAGTACTGTAGCTAAGGTGCTTGGGCCAAGGGCAGAAGTGAAGAATGAATTCATGGCTTTTGGCTGAGCACCTGGAGAACTGCGGTGCCACCCACTAAGGTTGGAGGAGCAGATAAAGAAAAGGAATTCAAGGGCAGAAGTCCAGGCTGATCATTCCCATCCTACTCTCCAATGATTGGTCACTTAAGGGTCTCATACCGCAACACAGCCAGTGGGATAATAAAAGGTTTTCTAGAGTCTTCTAGGAAAGTTCTTCTTAGTCCCAGTAAATCTATTAGAGGCCACGATTACTTCTCCAGCCATGTGTAGTATGAAGGTATGTGGCCAGAATTGCTCCCAGGAGCCATTCTACAATTCTGAGTAGATGCAGCCCCAGGATGAGCTCAAACTGTGCAGAGCATAGAGCATAGTGAAGCCACAGGAAGCACCTGTGAGCTCATCCGTGGTCCAGAGCCACCAGGCCAATACTACTTTAAGCTCTCCCCTTCTTCGAATCTGCATTCACATAAGTGTCTCGTTGCTCAGTCAAGTTGGGGTTTCCTGTTACTCGCATTCAAGAACACCCCTTCATGATACAATATAATGCCAGCTCCATGCAGTTCTTGTTTCTTTGAGATCTGTGTCTGTGTTTGCTTTATCTCTGTGTCCAACTCATGACCCAGTTCTCAGTTTGGTTGCTGAACAATTAGAGGACAATGGCGGATTAGAGCATCTTGTGCATGAAGGCGTGGGAATGCCCGCGTCAGTAGGAAGAGCCCTAATGGGTAGTGTGTTCTGGCCTTTCTCCATGCTATTGAGAAGGAAGCTGTGGAGACAGAGAAAATGGGAAGAGGGTGAATATCATGAAGGAAGAGAGTACTACTCTTCTCCTCCTCTCCTGCCACTGCACCATTTTCTTACATCTGAGACGTGGAGTCTTCTGTGCTCCCTTTGGTCTTCTCCAGTGCCGCCTTCCCTAAACCAGAACCAGAAGTCCTGACCACTTTATTTGGGAAACGGTCTCACTAAGTTGCCTAGGCTAGCCTTGAACTTGAGATCTTCCCGCCTCATTCTCCAAGTTGACGGGATTACAAATCCTGTTTATTTTATACTTCACAGATCCATCCACTTCTGTTGTCTCCAAGGCTTAGTGCAGGACCCTGGGACCTTTGGACCATGCAGTGCCCCCAGCAGATACTGATGTTCTGCTTCTCCTCTAGCTACCCTCTAATCTGCTTGTCCTCTGTAGCCAAGAAATCCTCTGAAAATACAAATGCACCAGTCCTCCTCTTGCTTAAAATCCTCTAGTACACCTAGAGTAATATCCAAGTTAAAACTGTGCTCATGACCATGATCATGGCCCATACGATCAGGTCTTCCAACTCTGTCCAGTCCACCCTTTCCCCTTCCTGTCCCCTTCCACCTGTGCTGGCCACTTCATTCCATGGGCATCCTATGCCTTCCTTACCATGCTGCCATGGCACTCGCTTTTCCCTCTCCCTGGAGCATTTTTCCACTATTCTTCTAAAAAAGTTGTATGGTGGGCAAAGGGTACCATACTTTAAAAAGAGTATATAAAATACAAATATACATCTCATGTATGCACAAACACAACTTAAAGAATGATTATGAAGTTGGGAGCCCAGGTAACCACCACCCAGGTTAAGAATAGTAGGTCCTGCTGAGTATCCCTCTCCAGTAATGTCTACACCATCCCCCTAGATAACCACCAAGCTGCCATTTGGGATGATTATTTCTTTGCTTTTTTGTCATTTTCTGTCTATATGTAATTCCACCCACAGATTTCCAGTATTGCGTATCTTTGAATTTTATATACGGAATCATAATATGCATTCCTTTGTTTCTGTCTTCTGATCAGTATTATCTTTGGTGAGATTTTGCTATAGTTCGTACATGTTTATGGCCGTGATGTTCTTTATTACTAATCTGCAATTTATCCTTTCTACTGTCATTGGATATGTGGGTTGTTTCCTACTTGGGATTATTATGAGCAATGCTTTCCCCTTGTTGAGATACAATACCCAACATTCACAGTTAAAAGGAGAGGTTTATTTGGCTTCAGGATTTAGGAAGTTCAGTTCATGGTGAGCTGGCTTCAAGGCAATAGCCTCATGACAGAGGGTGTGGTGGAACAAAGCTGCTTAGTTCATGGAAGCAGGGAAGCAGATCAAGCAGATCATGGGAACAGTGCTGGAGAGGAATGGCTTAAGGACCATGTATAGTCCCAAGGACCATATATGTACTCAAGGCCATGCCGTACATACACCCAAGGCCACGCCACCATGATCCACCCAGACACACCCAGGAGTGTGCGTTACTAACCTGCTAGGTCTTTCTTAGCCGAATGAAGTTGACAAATTAGGATTGATGGTCCCAGGTACCAAGAACATTTACATAGCTGTATCCTAAGTCCTGCCGGGAAGTCTCTCAAGGAGATTTTCTAGAAGAGGATCTGCTGGGTCATAGGCTAAGGGTGTCTCCAATTTGACAAGATGATGTTGAACTGTTTCTGAGGTGGCTGCACAAATTAAACGCCCACAAGCAGGGCACACATCTCATCATTACTGGGTCCTCCCAGATGTTTTAATTTCTAACCTGGGTGGGGATTGTGTACAGGCTCCACATCAGTAGGGAATACAGTTCCAATCTCTCATGTGGCCCTCACAACAGCCCAGAAAACTCACTTTGCAGATGAGGAAGCCAAGATTCAGCAGACAAAGCATTGTGCTGGGATTCATCCCAGATGTGAGACCCCGAACTATGCTTTTCCAACAATGTCATGCACTGGCTCTGCTGGGACTTAGGAGCCATGTTTGGTGGCAATTGGTCACTATGAATATGTTGGAGATTGACCTGTCCTGGGGAGCTTAGTGCCATGACCTCAGTCTTTGGTGTGCATTAGAATTACCCAGTTCTTGTCCCATGTCCAGTGACAGCGATGAGGACCTAGAGGGTATGAAGATGTATCTCATTGTGGTTTTAATTTCCATCTCCTTGGAAATTCATCCTAATTATGCTGAACATACTGTTGTTGCCTCACTGACCACTTGTGTTTTCTTAAGGGTCTGTTCAAGTCTTTTTCCTCACTCCATTTATCTTCCAATTGGCACATTAGCATTCTTTATGTATTATGGATACATTCCCTTTGTATGTTTACAAAGTATGCTAACAGCCTATGACTTGTCTTCATTTTTTGATGGCGTCGTTTAAATAATGTAAGACTAAGTTTGATAAATTCTCGATGGTATTTTTTCTTTTATTGTTATATGTCTTATATCTTTAATCATCCTAAGTTACATCTTTTGATAGATATGTATGCTTTTAATACACCTTTAAGGTGATACTACTGAGCATTAAAATTAGAGAGGCCCAGGTACAATGATTATCACATTAACTTGGGGGCAGATCTGCGTTTCACTCCATGTTTAGTACTTATGGAAAAAGTCACTCTATTTCTTTGAGTATCAGTTTCCCTATTTGCAAAATAAGATGAAAAAATTAGGGATCATTCCTAAAATTTGTTAGATGAGTCCAGTGAGATAAAGCTCAGACAGAATTTAACAAAGGGCTGGCCATGAAGAAAGTACGCTATAAAAGTTATTTTGTTTTGTATGCTGGTTTGCTTCAAGTATCAGAATGGGACAGAAGGAAATAATATGGTTTGTTGTTTCTTTCCAGTACATCAAGGCCTTTTACAATGAATCGTGGCAAAGAAGGCATGGACATCCGATAGATCCAGATACTCTGACCCTGCTCTGGTCTGTGACTGTGTCAATATTCGCCATCGGTGGACTGGTGGGGACATTAATGGTGAAGATGATTGGAAAGATTCTTGGGAGGTCAGTTGGGGCCATCTCTGGGGCTTCCTTCCTTGTGGATCACCACATATCTGTGTCACAGTCAGGATCCCTGCGGCTAACAGAACTCCATTCAGACAGCTCAGCTGCACAGATTTCAGTGCCCAAAGGGGAAAGGGAGAAAATAGGGCCCCAGAGACCAAAGAACCAGGGGGCAGTGGGCTGATGAGTGGGAGATGAAGTTTTGGAATGGGAGTAGGGGGCTGGGATGTGTCAGAACCACAGAGCCCTAGAGGGGAGGAGCAGGGAAAAAATAATCTTACCTCAGTCTCCTCCTACATGCCAGTCTCCTGCATGTGTCTCCCTTTGGCCAAACCCAAGTGGATCCCTAAACCAGGGAGTCTTGTGGTGCCACGTGGGAGGGCTGGCTCCCTCAGGAAGGGAAGAGGGTGGATCTGGGTGTGGGGACAAATAGAGAGCACTCAGCCCAGCCTTGCAGATTGTTCCTCATGAGCACATCTAGGTGTGCTTTCTCCTGGTACTGGGGATCGAACTCAGGACCTTGCACTTGCGAGGCAGGTGGCTGCACCACTGAGCTACATCCCCTGGCCCTAGGTCTGCTTTCTAAGAAAGTCAGCTGCTCAGATCGTCTTCCATTGTACGGCTGTGTGATCATGTTTAACCATTCCCTGTTCACAGATGTTAGGCTATTTTCACATCATTCACATTACAAATAAGGCTGCAGTGAATGTTTGTTGAAATTTCCTACCTAAGCCTTCTCCAGTTAGATCCACTTTACCTTGGGAGCCTTATTCCTAACTTATTTTTGGTACAAAGCCTTCTTTTAACAATGAACCGACTTAATAATAAATTCCCCCAAACACTGTTTTCTCTCTATCCTTGCTGCTGACTGTGTGGGAACTCTGGAGGTTTGTGTGGAGAGTAGCTTTGTGAACTTGAATTACGAGTCTTCGACTTGCCAGCTAGATGGCCTTGGCCAAGACATTGATTTATTTGAATCTCAGTTTCCTTATCTATAAGATAGGGAGAATAATTCCTGCCTGCGGGGCATGTTACATGTCCTAGACAATATGAGTGGAGAAAGAAAGTCATTAGTAGCTCAGTAAGCAGGAGCTGTTGTTATATATGATCCTTCTCCCTGTCACCTGGACATCCACATATGGTGACTGCTCAACAGGCGCCCATATTGCATCACCCTGAGCAGGGATTCATCAGCCTAGAAAACCTCTCCAGACTCAGGGGCCACAGAAAATCTACTCAGAAGGCTCCTGCCCATTCCCTTTCCATGCGCCAGCAAAGAGCAATTTAGAAAATTGAATTTCTAGGGCTGGCTTCCCCAGTGCTGGGACAGGACGCCAACTTGAAAGCATCCATGCGGTGCCCACTAAGCTCTGCGGTCCCTGGGGTGGGGTAGGAGAGATGCTGACACTTCCTTGTCCCCAAGGCCATGTCCACAGCAGTGATTAACAGGAACTTGGTGGCAAGGAAGCACAGCTATTGCCTAAGGTAGGGAGAGATGCCATTTTCTGAGATCTTTCCATGCTCCAGGCGGGCGTACCCACGCTTCTGCTTCATTTTCTCTATGGTGGGGTCAGGAAATGAGGAGGGAGTCAGAGAATTGGGGGTGTCTGTGCTAAGTGCTAACTCATGGGGCTGAGATCAGGCTGGAGCCCATTCATGGTGTGGTCTCGGCACTGTGGTCTCACCATGGTACCAAGCAATGTCTTATTATGGTCTTGCTGGCAGTGGTTTTCTGTAAAGTCCAAGACTGTTGGGAAACAGGTATGTGACTGTCTGGCACCAGACTGGTGTCCCTGGCCAGAAGCACTGTGGTGCTGTCCCTAAACCCCTGGCCGACAGATGCCAGAGCCAGTTTACAGTCCTCCTGCCTGTCCTGGTTGGAGTCAGCCCTGCCCAGGCCTTGTGGACTGTGACGTTTTCCTACCCTGCCATGGCCATGGCCCTTCTGCACTGAGGATGTCTCTTAGGAGGTGTCTGAGGCTACTCAGGTGGAGTGAGAAAAGGAACCGTGGCTGGAGGCTGCGACCCAGCAGGTCCCAACTCCAGCACGCACCGGCAGTGTGACGTGAGGTGTTGTGATCTCATTGCTCAGCCAGGATTTTTCTTGTGTGTAAAATGAGGTTCCTGAAAGAAGCATTACCAGCTCCAACAGCTTGGCACCTAAACAAGCGATGAGAAAACATGTTTGAAAACATGTCGGATTTCAAAGTGACGGTGGAATCCTCCCACCAAGCCAGTGGGGCCAGAGCTGTGGGGCTGCACAGAGATCAGATCAAAGGCTGCCGGTTATTATGCCCCAAGCAGCTGCCAGTTCCTGTCTTCATCGTTACAGGAGGGAAAGCTGAGTTGGTTTGATGTTCAGCCTAAATAATAACTCTGCAGAGAGGAAAAGAGCAACAACAAGAAAAGAAAGCTACCGTTTATTCACCTTCCGCTCCATACCAGTGCTTGACACGGTAAATCATTTACTTCTTCAAACCCTGTTTGCCTGTTATCTTTGCTTTATAAATGGTGAGGGAGAGACCCTGGAAGGTGGAACAATCTACCTTATTGCCAACAATGAGGCTGAACTGGAATTCAGATGCAGGTCTGTTTGAAAACAGGCCTACGCCTTTCCGCTGATGAGGGGCTATTTGAAGCTCCTTCTCCTTTTCTCTTAGTCTTTCGTCACGGGTGGGGATTGGCAGGGAGGCAGGGAAGCTGGGCTCGTGGTGGAAGGGTGGGGAAGGTACAGAAGCAGCTTGTGTGGTCCGAGAGGAGGTGCTTGAGTGTGGCTAGGGCGGAAATCAGAACCGAGTTCTCAGCATTCAGGTGGGCTGGTTATGGGCAGCTCCAGCAGTGGGGAGGCTCCAGGCGCGGTGGTTTCCTGTGTTACTTGGGAGAAGCTGGGCACAGGAAGCACAGGGAGCCCGGCACAGGCTCTGAAAGTGAGCCACATCAACTGCCCTGGGCCTCAGGGCTGCAGGTTCCTCGGCTGCTCGACACCCTGCTGGGGACTTCAGCCGCCCAGAATTCTGGTGGCATCCCCGGCCCTCCTCTGGGGTTGTCCATCTTCTGCTTGCACGTCTGTAGTGACAGAACCTCCTTCCCATACAAGACAGGACAGTGACCATGTTGGGTGGGGACACTGGCCACAGGCTCAGCTCCAAAGGGCTCATCCCACTCGTGGTCGTAGAGTCACAGCCCAACTGTTTGCTAGGGACACCATCACCCTCACCGGCTCTTCCTGAGCTGGGTCATTCCATCACTCCACAGGGAGGACCGTGCCTGTTTTCAAAGCGCTCCCGAACTCTCCTCCTTGCCCCTGTCGTTAGATCTACATCTTCCCTGTGGAGCAAAGCACAGGAAGAAGCCATAAGAAATCTCACACAAGCTTTGAAGTCAGATCCCGGGTCAAATTTCAACTTCTTGGCCAGCCGCGTAGGCACTTTCACCCGTGCAACCTGCACATGTGAGCAGCGCCAGGACGGGGCACTGTTTTGAGACTTGGCCTTTGTGAACGGGAGACAGGTCTGGTTCCAGGGCTCGGCTGGGGAGCGACTCATTATGCAGGTCGTTTTGATTCTTGCTGTGAATGGGAGTGGAGGTGTAAGAGGCAGCTGGCACGATCCTTAAACCTGTAAAGTGCAGATAAGCAAACCCCACCCAAGACGATAGTTGAATGAGATCAAATTTATAGTGTCTCATGTCACTCAGGAGCAACTGGAGGCCTGTGGCAGGAATCCAAAACAAACTGGCTGAAGCCCAAAAGGGAATTAATTGGCTAAGATAACTAAAATACAATTTGGCTGAATCCAGTGGCTCAGATGATACCAAAAAATAATCCAATCCATCTCTTTCCTCCGTCTCTCGGCTCTGCCTTCCCTGGGTCGGCCTCACACCCAGGCAGCCTCTCCCACAGAGGGTCAGGTGGCCCGGCACCGAGACCCTCTTCTTCCACAATGAGTCTCACTGACCTGAGTGAAGTTTCACGCCTCCTGGTGTTCCCAACCGGAGGTAATGCCACTCCATCAGGGGACATTTCTTGTTGTTGTGACTCGGTGCTACTGGCATCTAGGAGAGGTCAGAAATGCTGAGAAATATCCTGCAATGCACAGGACAGTCCTATAGTGAAGAATTTTCCAGCCCCTGATGCTAACAGTGCTGTTTCACAAACCCTGACAAATGCCATTCTAACACACTCGGATACCCTGTGGCTGTGAGGCCTACTGGTGAGGCCTGTATTATGTGCCCATTCCTGGAGCCACAGTGGGCAGAGATGTGAGTACCTCCAGCCCTGGCACAGAGTACAGGCTGGAAGTCTTTCCAGAGGAGATCGGAAGGGCTGGTCCCTGAAAAAGGATGAATTTTTAGCAAGCCAGGCATGTCATCCTGTACTCCTGGCAGAGAGCAGGCTCTCAGAAGTTCTGTTCCTTTCCTCATCTTTTTCTACTTCAAGCTTCCTTTAGAATGTGTCTTTATTTGTTTGCAGTAGGGAATCACTTTAGTTCTGCAGATGACTGCTGCAGGAGTACAGTCCCCGTGGCAAGCATGTCTTAGTCTGCTCAAGCCGTCATAATAGAACACTTTGTACAGGGGAGTGAACAGCGGGCATCTGTCATCTCCTGGTTCGGGAAGATGGAAGTCCAACCTCAAGGTGGCAGCCGCTTCTTGCTGTATCCTCATATGGTCTTTCCTCTGTGTGTGCCATCCCTGGCGCCTCCTCTTCTTAAAGGGACAGCAGTCATATTGAATTAGGGCCCCACTCTTAAGATCTCATTTAAACTTAATTACATCCTGGAAGATCCAACCTCCAAACGCAGTCTCATTGAGGGGCAAGGCTTTGACATTATCTTGAGAAAGCGCTCATTGGTGGGGCTTTTGGAAGCTGATTGGATTATGGGGGATCCTAGCTGACCAGCTCTACAGAGGTGGGCTCTGGTGGGAAAAGACGCGTCACTGGGAGAATGACCTGGAAGTGTTTATCTCCCTTTCTGGAACCTCTCTTCACTCTCTGCTTC